CACACACACACACACACACACACACACACACACACACACACACACACACAGCAGTGAAGCAATAGTGTTGTTCTGAACTTCGGCTTGACTTATCTCATGAGCTACGTTCCATTTGACCAGCTCCACTGCTTCCTGGGTGGGCTGAAGTGTAGAAAGCAGAGGGGGCCAGTAAGGAATTCTGTTCTGCAACTTCTGGGGAGACTGAGAGTAATAATGTTGGCACTACAGGGACCTGTATTCTGGAGGAAAAGCTTTATGCACAGGTAAAGAACTTCATTTTCAAGCTTTCTGTGGGGGAAAGGAGCAACCTACGAAGAGTAAATGGTAGTTGGGGAGCAATCCCTTGAAAGAAAGCTGACTCAGCTGAGAAGTGAGTCAGCTGAGGCAGCTTTTGCTCTTCCCACATTCTGTTTTTCCTAAGTGAAATGTGGATGGAATGACTGGTACCTTAGCATTCACCTTATGAACATGAGTTTTATTTATTTATTTATTTATTTATTTATTTATTTATCTATTTATTTATTTATTTATTTATTTATGTATTTATTTTTGAGACAGAATTTCCTACTATAGCCCAGGCTGGCCTGGACATTACTTCTATAGGCAGCCTCAAACTTGCAGCATCCTTCTGCCTCAGTCTCCCAAGCGTTGGCATCACAAGTATGAGCTACCTTGAGGTGATTTTTGAGGCTGGAACCTCTAATATGATGGTTCAAACAGGAAAAGCTAGCCTAGACCCCTGCTGACCCAGGCATCTTCATCAGTTGCCCACATGAACATGAATGGGCTTTGTCATAAGAAAACACAAACCTGTATCTTACACAAGGTTCCGTTACTTCTTTTAGCTTTTGTTATTTTACACGTATGAGCCTTTTAGAATTTGATTTATCTCTATTTTGATATGCATAGGTGTTTTGCCTGCACGTATGTCTGTGTGAGATGTCTTATATCCTGGAACTGGAGTTATAGACAGTTGTGAACTGCTCTGTGGATGCTGGGAATTGAACCTGGGTCCTCTGAAAAAGCCAATGTTCTCAATTACTGAGCGCAAACCCTAGTGCTAGATTTTTTTTTTTTTTTGAGACAGGGTTTCTCTGTGTAGCCCTGGAAGTCCTAGAACTCACCAGGCTGGCCTTGAACTCAGAGAACCACCTGGCTCTGCCTCCTAAGTGCTGGGATTAAAGGTGTGTGTCACCAACACCCGGCCATGTATGGGTGTTTTGTCTGCACGTTTTTCTGTGAACCACGTGTGTGCAGTGCCCATGAAGGCCAGAAGAGGGTGCTGTATCTCCTGGGATGGGAGTTGTGTGCCCCCATGCGGGCTGGGAATTAAGCCCAGATCTTCTGGAAGCACAGCCCATGCTCTTCACCACTGAACCATCATCTCTCCAGCTCCAAGCCTGTGTTACTTCTAGTTTCTGTCACTAGCATTTGAAAATATTGTATAATGCCCTAATACTTTAATAGGTATAGTGTTAGTACTTTATGTGATCCACATAATTTCCATCCCTTCTCTCTGTGTTTGTGTTTATGTGTGTAGGGACATATGTATGGAGGCCAGACACCGGGCGAGACAGGCTCTCTCAGGGTCTCACCCATTTGGCTAGACTTGCTGGCAAGCAAACCCAGGGTGCTGTCCCCCTTCCCAGCACTGGGATTAGAGGTACGCACTGCACCCAGATTTTAAGTGGGTGCTGGGGGTCAAACTCAGGCCCTCATGCTCGAATGGCAAGAACCTTATCAAACAAGGTATCTCTTCAGTCCCTAGGAACATAGTGATGACTGAGCTGGGAGGGGTGGCTTCCATAGCTGCACAAGCCGATTAAACCCAGGACACCCAGGTGTCCCAGGTCCTGGCTGTCTCCATGGACTCCACCCCAAGAGGAGAGGGCTAAATGTGAGCAGACAGTGATGGGACAGGAACCACGTTGGGGAGGTGTGGGATGTGAAAGGGTCCCAGCAGTTTAAGGGGGCTGTTCCTGTGAACAGATTTGCAGCGCTTGGAAAAAGGGTCTGGGAGCCAAAGCGAGAGGGAGGCTTACTGTTTGTTAAGACATCCAAGACTCGATGCTGTCAGAATTCTTGGGAACAGGGTTACAAGTCAGTCATCACTTCAGAGCAAAGCTCAGGAGGCTGGGACTCACTACCCCACTACCCGGGGAAGACATTTTGAAAAAAACAAAACAAACAAAAAAAAAAACAAAAAAAACAAACCACTGGCCAGTGTTAACTTTGAAAATGTGAAATTTCTATTAAACGCCCAACCCTTCTCATAATTAAATGTAATAAATTCACTGAGAGCCCCACCAAAGAGTCCAGGTCAGTTGCGTAATCTAAATAAAAACATTTAATTCTAAGGGCATTGTCCACAAGGAGGGTGCTCGGGCGGTGGGGTGTGAGACAGGGGAGCGTCCGCCCGGCATGCTCAACTTTCTGTGGGGGCCTGCCCCCCAGTTTAGAGCATGCAAGGGCTTTAATTTAGCCACACTGTTCTCTTATTCCAAATTAAATTACCCGACTCGCAATATTTAAATTAACCTTGAGGCTTCCTGGAGAACATAAAAGTTATTTTGAATTATTTTCACTGCCAGGATCAGCACAATTCCCTTCTCAGCCGGCTCGGCAGGCATTCAGCGATAGAGAAACCAATTTTTAAATTAATACAATTTTGTGTTTGTAAGGAAGCCATTATTTTTAATTATCGGGCGTTTTCCTCAGCCTAGCTTCCCCAGTTAATAAAACTCAGCTATTTAGCATGGTTTTTATTTTTGCAGAGGGCAGATTTGGGGAAATAGTTTCCCCTCTGGGATTTTCCCCCAGCGTGTTTTGATCTCACGAAGTGCATGCCTGTCACAGGAAGGCTCATAAAAAACCCCAAGAAAAGGAAACACTGTCGTCAAAATGGCCCTGCTGGGCCCATCATGGGTGACTCTAACTCAGCTCTAGGGGCAACAGGAGTGTGTGATCTGAGAAACACAAAGGAGGAAATTACACTGTGCTAGCCCTCTCCCAGGAAATGGAACGGTAACACAGCAGGGCAGATTTCAGCTAGACACACAGAAGACAGGCAGTTGGCTCCTGGGATGGGAAACCCAAGGAGATGAGCGAGGGAGGTTGTGAGAGTCTGCAGTGATTAAAAGCGGACATGCCTGCCTTTGGGTTCAGCTATTCACAGGAAAAGCCTGGCT